CCTTCCAGACAGAGGGAACAGCATGTATAAAGGCCTGGTGGAGGGCACTGCAAGTTCCTTCATGCATCTAGAGCAGCACTGTCCAGTAGAACTTTCTGGAATAATGGAAGTGTCCTGCATCTGCACCCTCTGATACTGTAGCCACCAGTCACCTGTGGCTGTTGAGCACTTGAAATGTTCACCCTAGTACAGCTGTTGTTCAGTTGCTCAGCCATGTCCAGCTCTTTGCAGCTTCATGGACTGCAGCACACCAGGCTTTCCTGTCCCTCACCAACTCCCGGAGCTTGCTCAAACTCATGTCCATTGAGTTAGTGATGCCATTCAACCATCTCATCTTCTGTCATCCCCTTCTCCTCCTGCCTTCAATCTTGCCCAGCATCAAGGTCTTTTCCAATGAGTTGGCTCTTCACATCAGGTGGCCAAAGGATTGGAGCATCAGCATCAGTCCTTCCAATGAATATTCATGGTTGATTTCCTTTAGGATTGACTGATTTGATTTCCTTGCTGTCCAAGGGACTCCCAAGAGTCTTCTCCATCACCACAGTTCAAAAGCATCAATTCTTTGGTTTTCAGCCTTCTTTATGGTTTAACTCAGTACAGCTAAGGAACTGAATTTCAACTTTATTTCATTTGAATTTAAATAGCCACGTATGACTAGCAGTTACTGCATTGAATGTTAGGTCTGGATGAAGAGAAAAGGCTGCAGAAGAAATCTGGGGCCAATACTGAAGGGTCTTGAATGCCATATTCAGACTTGGTGCCCTTTTCCCCAGCATGTGTGTGCTCAGTCACTCAGCCATGTCCAACTCTTTAAAACTCCATGGACGATAGCCCACCAGGCTCCTCTGTCCATGGAATTTTGCCGGCAAGAATACTGGAGTGGGTTGCCATTTCCTACTCCAGGAGATCTTCCTGACCCAGGGATTGAACTGGTGTCTCCTGCAGCTCCTGCATTGGCAGATGGATTCTTTACCACTGAGCCACCTGGGAAGCCCTCTTCTTCCCAGACAATGTGGAAATCCTGCAGAGGGACCTGGGGGAGGAGATGCAGGAACACATCCATCCTGGAGAACCGTCATCTCAGCTGCTCTGTGAGGCAGGGAGGAGCCTGGAGCCATGGTCCAGAAAAGAAGTGATAAAAACTGAACCAGGGCAGTGGGTATAGAGAGGAGAGGACAAATTCCAGGGCTAGCCCGATGACTGATTGGATTGGTGGATGGGCCATGTCAAGGGTGACTCCTAGATTTCTGACTTGGGTGGCAGCAGGGATAGGGGGTGTGCCCTGCACAGAAATGGGGAACATGAGAGAAAGGGCAGTTTTGGGGTCCCATACCACTATTCCAGCTTTCACTGTGATGTAAATGTCTCTGTCCCTGTCTCCCCCCAACCCACCCAGCCCATCTACATACCTTCTGAAGCATCATGGGTTGGGACTCACCCCCATCCTTCTCCCTGTCGTTGACACAGCAGCACGTGGGGCCCAAGGAGGCCTCATTCAGCACATGTTTGCGGAATGGACGAATGAGTGTTCCATTGCTCCCGGGATCCTGTTGTTCCCTGACCCTGAAAGCAGGGAGGAATTTGGCCATGTCCCTGGGGTGCCCTGAGCAATGTGAAGAACGTGGCCTCCAGGGCAGTTTTCTCAGAGAATCTGAAGAACTGCCTGAGTGGTTGGGTCTATGAGGGCAACCAAGGGAGAGAGTTGTAGCATTTGCTTCATCTCCTCAAACTCTGCATCTCAAGCAGACTGTCCCAAGCTGAACAGACCTGAGGCCATCAGGGAGGAGCAGTCATTCTGTATTCTTAGGTGAATGTGATCTATCTATTCCAGTGACTCAGATGCATGAGAATCTATGAGGAATGACTTCCAACTGTTAGTAATAGAGTGTTGCCCAAAGTAACTGAAATTAGATGAGGGTGTATTTCTCTTCCACGTAAAACAGGTCTATAGGAAAGGAGCCCAGGCAATGGTGTGCCAGGGCCAACTTGCCCTGGTTCCTGAGAACTAACTGCAACTCTTGTCTCAGCTCTGCGTCTGATGACCTCACATGGAGAGCTTGAAATTGGCTTTGAGGGAGCCTTTACACCATGGAAATTGGCCAGCACTATAAACTGAGGCTATTTATCTTTTTTCCAGAGGGCAAGCTTCCTAGCACATCCCGAGTGCAGTGATGGTGTGGCTACCCCATCAGGGACCCAGGTTTCTTCTTCCTTCTGTTTCACTGGTTTTGGCCTGTCATGTCCATCTTTCTGGTTGCCTTATGGCCTGAGATGGTACTGGAGTTCCAGTCATTATGTCTGTGCAAGCTCTCTACTCCCATAAAACTAGCTATTCCGAGTTTTCTATCTAACTTGTATTTTCAAGGCTGGCTCCTCTTCATCCTTCACTTGTCATCTGAGGTGTGCCCTCCACAGGGAAGCCTTCTCTGACGCCCTACTAAATTCATCAACCATCCTACGTGGCTTTATTTTCTCTAGAGCATAGACCATGTATGCATGCTAAGCTGCTTCAGTTGTGTCTGACTCTTTGTGACCCTGTGGACCGTAGCCCACCAGGCTCCTCTGTCCATGGCATAGACCATAATGGTTAACTATCTGAAGGTTTCCCTGGTGGCTCAGTGGTAAAGAATCTGCCTACCAATGCAGGAGATGCAGGTTCAATTCCTGGGTTGGAAAGATCCCCTAGAGAAGGAAATGGCAACCCACTCCAGTATTCCTGCCTGGGAAAGCCCAAGGACAGAGGAGCTTGGAGGGCTACAGTCCATGGGGTCACAAAAGAGTCAGACATGACTTAGTAACTAAACAACAATATTATCTGTCTTCCCCACTAGACTGGAAGATCCCTATCAGTAGGGACTATGTCTGTCTGGTTCTCTGCTGTGTCCCCAATGTCTCACACTGCCTGGTACATCATAATTGCTCAATAAATATTTGTTGAGTGAATAAGGGATAATAAGCACAGATCATTTTGTTTTCTACATGCTTCCCTTAGCATGTCATTGTGACCATTTTCTCACGTTGCTCTCTAGCCTGTAAAATTAGTTGGATTAGATGTTTTCAAGGGCTCTCCCTGCTCTGATGAGACAGGAGAACAGGAGGTGGGGGTGAGCAGGTAAGTCAGCTCCCTGGCACCACTCACACCCCAGGCTGACTAGAGAGCTGGGGCCAGAGGCTGTTTCCATGGAGATTCACTCCCAAAGAAAACTTCCTTGAGCCCCATTTCAATGCCAGGCCATTGTTGGGTGCAGGGGAGATAGAAAATGATAGGGTAGGCCTGCCCTGCATGGAGATGGATGAAGGACAGCCAGGAGAAAACCAGCTGTGATACCATGGACTAAATGTCCAGAAGTACTGGAAGCCAGGGCTTCCCAAGTGGTGCTAGTGGTAAAGAACCCACCTGTCAATGCAGGTAGACATAAGAGACACAAGTTCGATCCTTGGGTCAGGAAGATCCTCTAGAGGAGGGCATGGCAACCCACTTCAGTATTCTTGCCTGGAGAATCCCATGGACAGAGGAGCCTGGCAGGCTGCAGTCCATAGGTTCACACAGAGTAGGACATGACTGAAGCAACTTAGCACACACACATGAACTGGGAGCCATCCATCTCTGTGCCCCATTCATTCATTTGACAAATAATTATTGAGGCCCTACTGTGTGCTGGGCACTATTCTAAGTGCTGAGGATAGAACAGTGAACATGTCAGTCAAGATTCTTGCCTTCCTAAAACTCACATTCCAGTGGAAAAGAGGAACAGTAAACACACTGTCAGATAAATAAGCAAGATCATGGAGACCACAAAACAGGATGTGATGGAGGGTGGAAAGGATGCTACTGTGCATGGTCTGGTGAGGCAAGACCTCTCAGAGGAGGCAGCATCTGAGTTGTTACGTTAATGCTACAGGGGAATCAGGGGAGGATACCTGAGAGTGAAGTGCACCAGGCAGAGGAAGCAGCAAGTGCAGGCACAGGGTTGAAGCAAGCCCAGAGTGAGGGACAGGAAGAAGACCGCTTTGGCTGGCTAGGAGTGATGGGGGAAGGATGGTGGAGACAGCGGTGGGACGGGCATGAGGGCACTGAGACACCTGCTTCAGGCACAAAGCTGAAGCAGGTGCCCCCAAACTCAGTAATCAAGAGGAATAATTCATAATGAAATTTTTAAAAATCAAAATTAACGTCCAAAAAAACTGCATGATGAACAAAATATCAGATTTGTAAATAGAGACAAGATGACCAGCCATGACTTACTGAGCCATATTGGAACCAGAGGCAAAGGAAAAATTAGTCATAATGATCCTGTCCTTTAAAATTTTGACATGTTGTCTATCATGGATTTTTGTTGTTGTTCATTACTGAAGAAAATTGACACCTGGTGTCATGATCATGGTCTCCAGAACTAGACTTCCTGAGTTCCAATTCTGGCACTACCCTTCCATTCTTAGCTGTAAGTTTGGGGGCCAGTTTCTTGGCCTATCTGTATCAGTTTCTCCATTGGAAAATGGAGATAATAACAATGCCTACTTCAGGGTTACTGAGAGGATTAGATGACCCCATACAAGCTAAGGTCTGAGAACAGTGCCTAGCCCACTGGAAGTGCTCAGAGGATGTGGGGAGTTAGTCACAGCCCTGGACAGTGACACGGCCTTGGTTCCTGCCAGAGGATTCTAAGCAAGGAGTCTTGACCATCAGGGGGTCAGAAAGTATGTGGAGGTGGATTGGAGACTGGGGGACCAGAAGCTCCTAGGATGGCCTGAGTGGAGGCTGTTGCAAAACTTCGGATGAAAGATGGGAACAGACTCTGGACATACTTGGGAGACAGACTCTACAGGACTTCGTGGTTGTTGAACTGTGATGGGAGGAGGGTGCTGGGGCAGGGGAGGCACAGGGCCAGGTTAGCTTCCAGCGCCTGCAGCAGTCAGGCCTGGGCTCTGCATCACCGTTACCAGGAAATACCGGGCTGGCTCTGGCCTGCTCCGCGATTCCTGTCTTGTCTGTGTTCCAGAGGGAGCTGAAGGAGCAGCTTCAGGCCCTTCAGGACAGTGAGCGGGAGCACACGGAAGCGCTACAGCTGCTCAAGCGACAGCTGGCAGAGACCAAGGTGAGCCTGGCCTGGAGGTGGGGGCGGGGCTTCGTGGAGGCGGGGCCAGTTGGGCACTTGAAGGGCGGGGACTCGAGCCTGCTGCGGGGGCGGGGCTTCGAGGGCCCAAGCTCCAGTTGAGAGGCGTGCCGGAGGGCCGAGGCTGGGGCTTCTGCAAAGGTAAAGGGCCAGGGACCTTCTCCCAGATCACGGAAGGAAAGGATTTGGGCTGGTGCCCAGGGTTAAGAATAGGATCCTCGCTCCCTGCTTTGGGTGAAATTTGAGATGGGATCAGGGACCCTCTAGGAAAACCCTGATGTCCTATGGGACTGGAAGAAGGTACCTAGTCTCTTTTCCCTCTCCTGTTGTTAAACACACCCATTTTAAGTTAGCAATCCCTCCAATCTCTTGGAGAGAATGTTCCCTCCAAGTCCTCCTGATGATCTGTGGCTCAGCCCTGGTATAATCTCCTCTCTGAAACTCGGACCGTGAAGATATAAAGAGTAGGGGCAAACCCTGCAGGCTTTGAATACGATGGTCTGAAAAGAAAAGTCTTTTTCCTTGACCCGAGAGGAAGGCTGTGGGTTCTGATCCAGGCACTCCATGCTGTGTGAAGTTTGGGTAAACTGCAAGCTTTTCTGCAATCTTAATCTTTCCATCTGTGCAGCAGGGACTCTGCCAGGCTCTGTCCAGCCATGCTATTCTGGATCCTAGCACACTTCCAAGGGGCTCCTTCCAAATCCTCCACAGATATCTAACTGAGCAAGGTTTGCTTTGCTCTCCGCTGTCCTTCTGTCTGCTAAGCTCTTGGGTGATTTCATTGTCCTGGTAGCTCGGGGGTAAAGAACCTGCCTGCCAGTGCAGGAGACAAAAGAGACGTGGGTTCAATCCCTGGGTCAGGAAGATCCCTTGGAGTAGGGCATGGCAACCCACTCCAGTGTCCTTGCCTGGAGAACCCCATGGACAGAGGAGTGTAGCAGGCTACAGTCCATGGAGTCACACAGAGTCGGACACGACTGAAGTGACTTAGCACACACAGCATAGCACTCCATTTGCTGAGATGCCGCTGCCAGCAGCAGCTGGAGGCGAGCCTTAGGAATGTTCTGGGCCTCCAGAGGTCACTGGAGAGGCCCTTGGAGATCCAGACTTGTGCCCCAGCTTGGCTGCCAACCCACTGTGGGGTCTCAGGGAGGTCATAACAGACATTTCTTCAGAGAACATTCTGGAGTGCCTCCAGGCAGGACTCTTAGTGGGCAACAGATGAGAAACAGACCCAAACTCTGGCATCGTTGCTTCTCACAGCCTCAGTTTCCCCACCTGCATGGGGATCCGGTACCTCTCAGGTGAAGAGAGCAAATGGAAGCCTCTGTCTGGGTGAGAGGGGAATTTATAATCTGTTTTTCTCCCCAGCATTCTGTTCTTCTCTCCAACCACCGCCCCCCCCCCATTGTTTTTCTCCACTGACCTCTTCCTCCCCTGCCTTCCTGTCCATCTGTCTACCTCTGGGGGGTCCTGTGGGGCCACCTTCCCCTCCAGTTCCCCCAGCCCTGCTTCCTGTCTGGACTGGGGTGTTTATACAAGAAATGCCTATGGATGCTTTGGAGGTCATATTTCACCTGGTGCCTGACTCGGCTCGGCTTTCTTGTGGCGCCTGCCCCTCTAGTGGCCCGGCTTGAGGGCCTGTCTGATCTCCCTCCCTGGGCCCAATGTTTTCCTTGGTCGGCCCTGACCGAGTGACGCATTCTTGGCAGGGTATTTTTCTGAAACAGCCCCAGCTCCTCCAAGCCCCAGTGTGTTCCCAGGGATGTGGTGGGCTGAGGTGGGGGCTGCTTGCCCAGTCGAGGCACTGAAGGGATTGGGGGTGGGGCGGGACTGGCTCTGTCCTAGAAAAAACTAGAGTAAATGGGGCACACCAGTTTAGATTCTGTGCTGGGAATTGTGTTCCCTACCCATTGTCCTACTGAACTGCACAGAACGTCACCTCCATGACCGCAGGATTCCCCAGAACCTATACACTGTCTAGCACACAATAAATCAGTTTAGTTCAGTCACTCAGTCGTGTCCGACTCTTTGAAACCCTATGGGCTGCGACACACCAGGCTTCTCTGTCCATCACCAGCTCCTGGAGTTTGCTCAAACTCATGTCCATTGAGTCAGTGATGCCATCTGACCATCTCATCCTCTGTTGTCCCCTTCTCCTGCCTTCAATCTCCTCCTGCCACAATTGTGCCTTCAATTGTGCCTGCTGCCACAATGATAAATAGTTGTAGAACAAATGAGTGAGAAAAAAACACCTTTTGAAGTAGGAATTGTTGTCTCCATTTTAATAGCAAAGAGACTGAGGCATAGAGAGATTGCGGGACATGCCTGAGGCCCCATGGCTAGTAAGTAGCTAATTGAGAGCTTACTGTCTAATTCTGTCAGATCATAGGGCATATTCCAGCCTCATGCTGGGTTGTCCTCAGCAAGATCTCTGGCTCTGTGGTCTGCAAGCCGGAGAGGCCTAGAGAACCCATCAGGGATATACTTAGGCCTCCTGGGGTGGCTGTCACTCTGATGTTTCACTTCTGAGCTGCCCTCTCCCAGTTTCTTTCTCTCCTCTTGTGCTGGAGACACTAGGCCCCCACCAAGAAAGATGATGGAGTCTGCACCCACCTCTGCAGATCAGTCTTGGGCCAGACCCTTCCCTCCTTCACCATTCAAGCAGGTTCTGACCATCAACCTGTGCCAGGCCCTGGGATGGGCACAAAGAGTGCAGGGTTAAGAAAGATGTCATTCCTATCCAGGAGTGGTTCGTTCACTAGCTGGGAAGCCATATAAAACATGTGGCAGCATATTAAGAATATTTACAAAATGCTGTGGGAACATTTAGCCTGTTTAACTGGCTGCAAAATTTAGGGAAGGTATCCCAGAGAAGGGAGCTTTTGGTCTGGGTCTCACAAGATGAGTAGGAGTTTGCCAGTTGAATAAAGCATTTGCTGGGGGAGGGGTCCACTCTAGGTCGGTAGACTTACAGTGCAATGGCACTAGAGTGGTAAGTGAGATCAGAGTGAGGACTTTGAATTCCAGACTAAGGAATTTAGCTCTGTACTAGTCATCAAGACGCCAAGAGATGTTCCTGAACACAAGACTGACTGTGACCCAGTTTGCACTTTAGAAGGATCACTCTGGCAGCAAGTTTGTTGGCAAAGATTAGGTGTAGTTGACACATTAAACCAGTGAGTTGGTGGAACCCATGGGCATGTGTGGAGGAGGCAGGTGGAAAGATGAATGTGGCACTCAGGAGACACGTAAGGCCTTCAGGAAGGATGGATCTGGAAAGCAGCCTCAGAGTAGTGGGAGTTGAAGATGAGGGAGGGCATGTCATGTATGAACAAAAGGAGCCAGGACTGGATGAGTCCTCAGGAGCAGGGATGGCAGGGAGGGAGCAGCCACAGAGGTGGGAGGCAAACCAGAATTCTCGATTAGTAGAGGCTGGCCCTTGGGCCAAATGCTGCTGCAGACTGGCTGAGGAGGAGCCAGAAGGGCTGGCCATGAGATTTAGGGTTCTTTGGAGGCAGCAGCAGATGGTCCAGGGCAGGCATGCCCCATCTTCCCCACCATGACCTGCTGCTGCAGGAACCTCACCTTCCCTGGGTGAGGGGGCTCCAAGGGGCCACAGGCAGCCTGGCCCTTTGTCCCCAGACTCTCCCTTCACCACCCTCTTTGTCTGCCTGGCAAGCTGGGTGGGCATGCGCAGGGAGGCTGGCCCACTGCCAGCAGCTCTTCCTGCCGGCCCACAGCCACGACCGGGAGGGAACAGGCCCTAATTGAGCCTTTGTGGAGCTTCCCACAGAGCCCTGGGCACTGAACACAGCGGGGTCTCTGACTCTGTGAACTCCCAGTCAGAATCCCACAAAGTCAAATTGCAGAGGCAGGCCCCACACGCTGCTGCCGCTGAGCAGCACTTTTGTACCCTGTGTCATCCTGCCTCTTGCTGTCCCCTCGGCCCGTTCCCCGCCTCCACCCCCAACTGACATCCTGCTCACCTTTCAGGCCCCAGGTCAGCAGCCACCTCTCCATGAAGACTTCTGGGATGTGCCTGTTCCAGTGTTTAAATAACCAAGCTCTGGGGCTGCACCTCAAACAATGTCATGCGCTTTGTGAATCTCCCCTCACTTACCGTAGCCCTGCAATATCATTGTGTAACCCTCTTCCCAGATAAGAAAACCAAGGTTCAGAGATATCAGGCAACTAAAGTTGCCACAGCGGAAGACTCAGTGCCCTTGGGCACCAAAGCTTTGCCTTTTACCACTCAGTCCCTTCCTGGGCCTGGCAGTACCCTTGGGGACAGAGAGAATCAATCAAGTCCATGCTTGTCTTTCTGTGACAATGGCTTTAACCCACAACTCTTGTTCCCTAGCAAGAGGGTCTGGGGGTGCTGGGACAGGGTGAGTGACCCTGAAACTTTGCCCAGTACATTGCCATTTATAAAGCTCTCTGACATCTGTGATCTCCTTGGCATCTTTGCTTAGGCTGCATGAGTGATGTTTTTAAAAAAATAAAAATTTCACTGTCTCCTAGACTGAGCTCAGCATCTGCTCCCTGCCCATCCCGCCACATCTCTGGCCCACTTCCTCATCCCTCCCGTCCCCAAGCCAGAAATCCGGACATCATCCTCACACCTGTCTCTCCTTTACCCCACAGCCAGCCAGTTGGTCACCAGGGCCACCGAGGCTCCCCCTACAGATACCTTTCAAGCCATGTCCGTCTGCTGCTCCTCTAGCTCAAGCATCATTGTCTCGCCTGGACCACTTCATTTGTTTCCTAATGGAGACTATTTGTTGTCCTTGATCGGGCCAGCTCTCTTCCGCCGCCATGCTTTTTGCCATTTCCTCACTGAACGTACCTTTCCCGCCCTTTCCTCTCTGCATGCCAAGACCCTCGGTCTCCTCCTCTCACACAGCGATCACCCCATCCATTCTCCCTGACTAACCTCTGATGACCGTGTCCATAGTCTTCCACCAAAAGCCTGCGGACCACCATCGGGGAGGCGTTCGAGCGGCTGCACCGGCTGCTGCGGGAGCGGCAGAAGGCCATGCTGGAGGAGCTGGAGGCAGACACGGCTCGCACGCTAACCGACATCGAGCAGAAAGTCCAGCGCTACAGCCAGCAGCTGCGCAAGGTGCAGGAGGGGGCGCAGATCCTGCAGGAGCGGCTGGCCGAAACCGACCGGCATACCTTCCTGGCCGGCATGGCCTCGCTGTCCGAACGGTGAGTGCCTGCCTGCCCCAGCGTCTTCTCCAGATGGGTCACTCCTCCTCAGCCCCTGTAGGATGGAGGGCTGGTTAGCAGAGAAATCATTCATTCAGATCTCCATCAAACACACAGGACATCTGCTCTATGCCATAGCCTGGGGTGAAGGCTTTGTGTACGCACACTATTTTATACATAATATTTATAATCCTATAGGATATTACTTATTTTGTGTGATTTATGTTATAAATATACATTTTATACTATTTATTATAATATCTTTTTTTTTATTCCCAACTAGCCCCTTGGAGGTCATTACTACTGTCATACCTATTTCACACATGTAGAAACTGAGGCACAGAGAAACTGGAGCAACTGGCCAAAGCCCTTCATCTAGCACATGGGGGAGCCAGGATTCAAGGCCAGGTCTCTCTGGTTCCATGGCTACCTTTAATAATAATACTTGGGACTTCCCTGGTGGTCCAGTGGTGAAAACTCCATGCTTCCACTGCAGGGGGCATAGATTCGATCCCTGGCTGGGGAACTAAGATCCTGCATGCTGTGTAGCATGGCCACCCCAAAATAACAAATAAATAAAATAATAATAACACTTAATTATTGGTTTTCCCTTGTGGCTCAGCTGGTAAAGAATCCACCTGCAATGTGGGAGATCTGGGTTCGATCCCTGGGTTGGGAAGATCCCCTACAGAAGGAAAAGGCTACCCACTGGAGAATTCCATGGACCAAATAGTCTATGGAGTCGCAAAGAGTTGGACACGACTGAGTGACCTTGACTTTTATTTTCAATGACCAGTACTGATAGCTGATGTCATGTATTGTGTTGACCATGAGGCACACACCGTGCTAAGCGTTTTGCATGCATTAAGCTGCACAGTGCTCACAAGTCTAGGAGGCAGGTGTTATCATAGTACCCATTTTAAAGATAAAGAAACGGAGGGTGATAGCTAGAGAATTAGGAAGTGGTAGAAGTAAGCACTTGAGTCTGGGTATGGCAGACTTCCCACTCATGGCCTCGCCCTATGCCAGCGACCCTGAAGGTGCTGGGACAGGAATCTAGCCCCCAATGTGGTCTGCTCTCTTGCTCCCTTTCCAGGCTCAAAGGGAAAATCCACGAGACCAACCTAACCTATGAAGATTTCCCAACCTCCAAGTACACAGGCCCCCTGCAGTACACCATCTGGAAGTCCCTATTCCAAGACATCCACCCAGGTAAGGCCCTTCCTGCCACTCACCAGAGGGCTCAGGAAGAGGCAAGGATCATCACAGGTTGGAGCTAGATGGGCCACTGCCCAGTCCAGCCCCCCGCTCTACACACAGCACGGGGGCAGGGCAGAGGGATGGGAAGGGTGCCTTAATGAGCACCTACTATGTTCCGGGGCCTGTGCTGGGCACCTGCAGTAACTCAACCCAGGGAATCTTTATACTGATACAACTCCAGGAGGTTGGTTCTACTAGTGTGCCCATTCTCCAGATGAAGAGACTGAGGCTGTGGGCTGTTCACTTATTCACTGTATGAGTACAGAAGAGATGAAGCACCTACCTCACACCAGGCACTGTTCTAGGTACTGAAGATAAAGCAGTGAACGAAACAGGCAAAACTTCCTACCCTCGTGCATCTCAGTTACATCCTAGGGTGAGAGAGAGAAAGAAAACAAAATTAAATAAGTAAAACACATAGTTTATTAGACAGTGATAAAAGATAAGGAAGGCGGCTAGCAGATGTTGAGGCAGGAAAAAACGTTTGGTAGGGGATTCATCAGAAGACCTCCCGGAGAAGGAGGGAGTAAAGACCTGAAGGAAGAAGAGTGAGCCATGTAGATACCCTGGGAAGAGTGCTCCTGGCAGTGGGACTAGCAGGTGCAAAGGTTCTGAGGCAGGAGCACGCCGGGCATGTTCAGGTCAGAGTAAGGAGACCAGTGTGGCTGGAGTGGAACGAGTGAGAAGGACAGTGGAGCTAGCAGTAGCCGGACCATGAGGGCCTGTGGGCCCAGGTGAAAACTTTCAATTTTATGCTGAGTGAGATGGGAGTCCTTGAGGATTTGGGATGGTAACATGAAGTAACGTGAGCTTTTAAGTTTTTAAAGGATGCCTCTGGCTGCTGAGTTGAGAATAGACTGCAGGAGTAAGGGGGAGAGGTTAGGAGACTATTGCAGTAATCCAGGCGAGAGGTGATGCTGGCCTGAAGCAGGGTGATAGTAGCGCACATGGCAAGACGTGACTGGGTTTAGGATCCATACTGAACAGAGAGCCAACAGGATTTTCTAACGCATTGGATCTCAGATGTGAGAGAGAGAAAACCGATAAGGAAGACTAGAACGATTTTGGCTGAGGTGACTGGGAAGATGGAGCTGTAAGCATGTGAGGCTCCTGATGCCAATCAGATGTCTCAGTGCAGATGTGGAGAAGGCAGTGGAGATGACACGTATGCAGTTCAGGAGAAGGGTCTGGGCCAGTGGTGTCCGCATGTGGACGGTACCAAATGAGCCAGGATGAGATCACCTAGGAGGTGAGTTGAGGGTAGAGAGAAAAGACAGAGGACCATGCTAACAATTGGAGCCCTGGGGCCATCCTAGAAATCAAGGACAGGAAGGGGACCCAGTCAAGGAAACCGAGAAGGAACAGCCGGAGAATAGGAGGGAGACCTGGTCCATCCTGGAAGCCAAGTGGAGAAAGTGTTTCGAGGAGGGGGAGTGGCTGGTGGTGGCCAGGCTGCACCACCAAGTGTGGGAAGATCAGCACTGACTGTTCTCTTGGTCTTGATGGCCTTGACAGGAGCCGCTCTGCTGGAGCAATGGAGGCAAATCCCGATTGGAGGCCATCCAAGAGAGAATGGGAGAGGAAGTGGAGACAGTGCTTTCAAAGATTTTATTTGTGGGAAGGAGAGAGAATGTGGCAGCTGTTTGTTTAAGATAGAAGAAATGATAGCATGTTTGGGGGTGGAGCGGGCGGGGCTTCCCTGGTGGCTCAGCTGGTAAAGAATCCAACTGCAAAGCAGCAGACCCTGGTTCAATTCCTGGGTTGGGAAGATCCCCTGGAGGAGGGCATGGCAACCCATTCCAGTATTCTTACCTGGAGAATCCCCATGGACAGAGGAGCCTGGCGGGCTACAGTCCATGGGGTTGAAAAGAGTTGGACATGACTGAGCGACTAAGCACAGCATGTGGGGGAAGGGGGGCACAGAAAAGATGCAGTAGAAAAAGGTAGAACTGAGGATGAATGAGAGAGAATTGCTGGAGTGCCGTCGGGTGTGGGGTCCACCCCAGCCTCTGCTGGGAGCCCAGAGAAGGGAGAATACATGGGCACCAAAGCAGAGGGGCAGGTGGTGGAAGCTCATGGGAATTCTGTTCTGATAGTTTTGCCTTTCCCAGTAAGGTAGGAAGCAAGGTCATCCGCTGGGATAAGAATGGACTAGAGAAGGTCACGGGAGGTGGGCTGAGAGGGGAGAAAGTCTGAAATGGATTTCTAGTAGAGTCAATAGACCCTGGGGCTCTGAGATCAACACCTTCCCAACATTACACAACCCACCAGGGCATCAGAGTCGAACCTATTGGCAGCAGGGAGCCTATGTGTTGAGTCAGGTGCAATGTCCTATAGAGAGGAGACAAGGATGTAGAGGGGACTAGTCCCTAAAAGGTAGACACTGTTGTTATATTTTAGACGAGGCAACTGAGGCACACAACTGTTAGGAACTGTTCATGGTCATAACCTGGTAAATGGTACAACCAAGATTTGAACCAGAACCATCAGACCCAAACGGTGTGCCCTTCCCTACTAAGCCTATCAGGCATTCTTTGGCCTCATACCACCAACCCAGGAAGGCTGCTGGGGAGGCTGAGGCTCAGAGAGGCTCACTGATTTTCCCAGGTCACACAGCAATCAGATTTGCACCTGTCTGGGTTCATTCATTCAATCTACAAACATTGAAAGTCCTTTGATGCACGTTCAGGAGAGACAGATGGGACAACAGACCCTAACAGTCCATGGGAAAACGGCCATGATGAGGGACTTACACGGAGCCATGGGAGCCCAAGAGGCAATAGGAAGCTCTGGATGGGTCAGGGAAGGAGCCAGGGGGACACTGAGCAGATGGTGTTTGCACTGAGCAGTGAAAACTGAAGGCTTTCCCACTCGGGGAGGGTGCGGCCTAGAGATGACCCCAGACAATCCCTGGCATTGAGAACGATATACGCAAAGAAGCATCCCAAGATGCTCATGATTGGCCTCCAGGTACAAATGGAGAAGGACTGAGGACAATCACTGAGGGTGTGAGTGCTAGACAGGGATGGGGCTCCCCTCTAGGTGACTGAAGGCTGCCTCTGATGCATCATGACCAATTTCACAAAGATGAAGGGATACCTCCTAGTACCCTTTAGTCTGGATCTGTGCCCTCATTGACAAAGCAGGCAGTAGTTGGGGGAAGGGCCCATTTTCCAGCCGACTGGGTAGGGCTCTGGACTAACCTCCTGGTGTAGGGGTGGGGGGGTCTCTGTGTGCTCCCAGCCTTGGAGGGACCTTCACAGTGGGACCCAGCAGCGTGAGGGCCACACATGGGTGAAGCGGCATAACTTAAGGAAGCAAGAAGCCCGGCCAAGGGTCCTGACCCCTCCCCTGACCCAGGGAAGCCCCTCAGGCAGATGGTCTCAGGAACTGATTTATCTCAGCTGCCACCTGCCTCACCCCATCACAGCTCAGTGAGGCAATCCAGGCAGTTAAACCTTATATATCAAGGCACTGTGACATCTGGGCCCTGCCAGTCTCTCCTTCTCCCTCTATATCACACCCAGACACACGGAACCATCTTCAGGTCTTACATGAGCCACATTCCCTCTCCTGCACACTTTTCTGACTTTTGTACAAGTGAGAAAACCCTCGAAACAAACCTCAGACTTTGAGAACTAACTCCTACTCTCTTTAACATCTTAGTTTATAAACACCTCCTCTGAAATGCCTTCCTGGATTTCTCCAAGTAGCCCTAGGCTTTCCTGGTCTTGCTGTCTTATTAATGTCTGCATGGCTGTCTCTCTTGCTAGACTGTGAGCTCTGAGAGGTCAAGGGCTGAGTCTGATTCATCACTCTACATCCCCAGCAGCCAGTGCAGTAAATGTTTGTGGATGATTGAATAAAGAAATGAATGAGTCCTGGTCTCAGTTCTGTTACTAGAATACCCTGATATGAAGTAGGTGCTCAGTGATTATTTGTTAAATGAAGGAACTTGCTGCACATCCCTGAACAAGTCCCTTCCTCCCTCTAAGCCTCTGTTTCCTCCTCTATTATAGAGATACTAGTGTTCCCTTCTTGACTCCCCCACAAGAGAGCAAACGGATGTGGGAATTTGCTGATTGCCCCAGGGCAGGCTTTCTCAGCCTCAGAACTATTGACATTTGGGGCTGGATAATTCCTTGTCTTGGGAGCTGTCCTGTCCATGGTAGGATGTTCAACAGCATCCCTGGTCTGTACCCAACTAGATGCTACACACACATACACACCCAGATATGACAACCAAATATATCTCATTCATTGTCCAATGTCCCTTGTGAGGCAGATCCACCCCAGTTAAGAATGACTTCCCCAGAGAAAGCAGCCTGTAGGAGAGGGGCGGAGGGAGCCCCAGCATGTGCTCCGAACATCCTGCCGAGGATAGCAGCCCCTGGGGGTTCAGAGAACAGTGACCTGGTTAGCCGGGCCTCTTCCTTTGTCTGTAGGGCCTATGAAGTCACTCTGGCTCTTCTGCCAAAACCAAGGCCCTTTATGTCTAGATGGGAGGGGCAGATGCCCCCAGGGACCTAGCCCTGGATTCTAGCAGCTTCCTGCCTACCCGCCTTCCAGTTCAGGCTTCCTACTAGGTCACCAGAGAATTTTATTTAGCACCTGTCACTCCCCTGCTCTGGAACCTCGACTGTCCACCTACACCCCTGCCCCACCCCCCAGCTGACACTGGAAACCCTCCTCCAACTGTCTGGCCTGACTGCCCCATCTCCCGGGCACCAACTTCCTCCCCACCCAGGACAAGTGGCCATTGTCCAGAGGACACCAGACACTGCTTCGTTTGCTCCTGCCACCTCCCTTTCTGGGCTGCTCTCTCCCCCACCCCTGCTTATCTGAATCCAATCATTTTGGGTTCCAGCATATTCACTGTCAAGCTGTGTGACCCAGGGCATATCTCCACCCTGTCTGAGCCTGTTTCCTCATCTGTGAAACAGATGGCGGAA